ATGAACAAAGCAGTCTGTTCAGCGTGAGTCTCATCATGAGTTAACTCTTGACGTCAATTTGAACACTCAAATCACTTGGCACGAGAATAAAAGAATCCACTATATCGTGAACATAAAGGTCTGACATCTTTGGACGCATTAGATGACCTTATGACTTAATACTGTCCAAAAAGGGTAATGTAAAATCTACAAGACATTTAGAAGTTTTGAGTGACTGAATTTATGAAACCAAAAGATCAGTTACTTTCCTATTGTATTAAAACATGCGGACCAATACTTATCCCATTACACTTGTTTGATATTTTTTTCCACAACAAACATCTCCATTTTTGTTTAAAAAAACCTGTCGAAGTATTGCGCATGTTGATATCAACATTTAAGGAAACGAATACTGGTGATAATGTCATTATTTGTGTCAGAAATGGTAAAAAAAAGGTAATATGCAAAGTTTGAAACTTATTGCTGTATCTTAACTAAGTTACTCATATAATATTCTTTTTTTTAGTTAACTATTCACACAACTATAAAACTGAGAAACTATGTCTAATTTATTCTTCCGGGGCTAGTTCAATTGTGTTTTGGAAATTTCTTAGTTTTGTAAGTTATTTATAACATTTACTTAACTTTTATATTAGATAGTTTGTTTGTTTGTTACGGATTTCGCGCAAAGCTACACGAGGGCTATCTGCGCTAGCCGTCCCTAATTTAGCAGCGTAAGACTAGAGGGAAGGCAGCTAGTCATCACCACCCGCCGCCAACTCTTGGGCTACTCTTTTACCAACGAATGGTGGGATTGACCGTCACATTATAACGCCCCCACGGCTGAAAGGGCGAGCATGTTTGGTGGGATGGGGATGCGAACCTGCGACCCGCAGATTGCGAGTCGAGCGCCCTAACCACCTGGCCATGCCGGCTTATATTAGATAGAGAGTACTACATTTAATTTGTTTTATGGGTTAGTTATGAAAGTTAACTTTTGTTTTAAGTTATTTGCAGCAGTATAAGCCATTTAATGCTCATATTTGTGGCCCACCTATTTACTTGTTTATTATCATTTTGAGCCAAGTATTTTATTGCGAACGTTATGTATATATTTCTCAAATATCCTTTCTTCGCCTATCACTCTGTTTGTCTATAAAACAGATTTAGTTCAGATGCCATTGTAATATGTATTATATATATATAGTTACGCAGAGCCACCCAGTGGCACAGCTGTATGTCTGCGGACTTACAACGCGAGAAACTGGATTTCGATCCACGTTGTGGGTAGAGCACAGATACCTCATTGTGTAGCTATGCAACATTTCAAAAGCACAAGCGCCATCTTTCGACAAACAAATGAAGTGGTCAGACTATTTCTCTCTTTGATTTAATTAAAGCAGATTAATTTCTAAATACTAAGCCTTCAAGCTAACCAGTAATTAAGCTAATACAATATCAAGTACAAAAAATTATTGAAGATACTAGTGTGGATATCAGAATAATGATTTTTAATCCTCACCATTAGCTTTTCAAAGACTAAAAATAATTCTAACTCAATTTTCTAGTGAAAAAGATAATTACTTTCCACAAATACATTTTTTGAACTGCGGAGGAAGATATGAAATACTTACATTCAGATCAGATACTGAAAGGTTTTTCTTATCGTGAACAGATGACACTTAAAGCAATAAACAGTGCTTACTCTCTGTTTGTTTAATAGGGATCGAATATAATGAGACGCAAACTTTTTAAATGTATTTTATTGAGCGTTGGAAATATTCATAGATATCATGCACGTTTACAGTTTCATCAAGATGTTTTACGCAACTTGTGTAAAAATATACGTACCAAAAATAGCATAAAAGATTATATAAATGTGTAAATGTAGAAATGTATTTACTAATGAACAAGAGTGTGGTGTAATCTTGTTGACCTTCCTAGTAGTATTTCAAATATAAAAAGGTTTCAAGTATTTCTAAATTATTTATGTAGCCCAGTGTGAGGTTTGAACTAGGCCTCTCTAACTAATAACCCTTAAAAAATATTCATCCGTGATCTGACCCAGCGCCAGACATGGACTAACTCAGTCGGACTAATAGCCCTTGATGAATATTCATCCGTGATCTGACCCAGTGCCAGACATGGACTAAGTCAGTCGGACTAATAGCCCTTGATGAATATTCATCCGTGATCTGACCCAGTGCCAGACATGGACTAAGCCAGTCGGACTAATAGCCCTTGATGACTATTTATCCGTGATCTGACCCAGTGCCAGGCATGGATTAAGCCAGTCGGACTATTAGCCCTTGATGAATATTTATCCGTGATCTGACCCAGTGCCAGGCATGGATTAAGCCAGTCGGACTATTAGCCCTTGATGAATATTCATTCATGATCTCACCCAGTGCCAGCTCCGTATTAAAACAATCAGATTAATCAATCCAGGTTAGGGATGTCATTTGAAAGGCGACAGGGGTGCCTCCTCGGGAGTGGGGCCTCAAATGGCAGTTTCTGTCAGACATTTCTAGTCAGGCCGGATTAAAATGTATGCGCAAATTATGCCATACAGTAGGGATCCCACCTGAATTGGGAACCACCCGCAAGGCCAGCCTTCTTTTCCCCCACCCCTAAGCCCTTTGTGGATTGAACTTCCTGTCCTAAGTACATGTTTATGTATTTTCTGAGCAAATGCCACCTCTGAACTAGGCCAAATAAATTAACAATTCTCTATAAAAATTTAGATATTGTATGAGCAGCACAAGAACACTGACTGACTACAACACACAAGTTTATTATAACTAGCAAGCGTTTACAATGACATGAGAAACATGAATACAACTGGATTCTATTCATTTGTGTCTTATATTTATAAGATACAACATTTAAGTAAAACATATAGAACACTAAATATCTTGTCTCTCTGTCCTTCAGTCTTAACTGACTTCATAATATAGATGCCGAACATCTTGAAAAATTTTCCCACACGTTATAAAACTATTGTTGTTGTTTCTTAAACTTGATACTTTCTCATCTTATAAACTCCAATGTTATACATCTATCTTCACTAATACATCATATGTTGGGGAAAGCGAAGATAATTGTTTTTCTAGAAGTACAGGAGGAAAGACATCCACTCCTCTATTAAATCTAATGTAAACACCAATGTTTCATCAGATATCTTTTCTAACCTTTATCACTTTTCAAAAAATATTTCAGAAACCAAACAAACTATTATTTTCAGATAGAATTTTTGTTTTGAGTTTAGCCTCTGATTACTGACTAAATAATAACAAATGATACGGAAATCTATCTTATTTATAGAACATTAACTTTGATCTCATGTATAAATAAAGTTTTTACCATCTTCGAAATTATTAAGCTTTATGTTTTGGAAATTATATTGTTGAAAGTTATATATATATATTAAATTCGGTATAATAGTATAGAAACTAAACAAGCTCCAATTCTGCGTCTTATTAACACCTTTACAAAATGATCGTTAGATGTTTCATCATCCTCTTTAGAGAGTTAAATACGTAACATTACTGTCCAAATAGATTTATTGATCATCATCACAATCCTTGAAAACTATCATTAATCTCTAGACCCACTTCAAGGTCTCATCATCATCATATTTACAAACTCCAGCATTTCATATGTATATCATTATAGTCTACAAGTTATTCTGTGTCTCATTATCATCATTCTAACGAACTTTAGCATCTTATGTATCATTACGTATTACTAATCTTGTGAAATTCTTTAAAGAGTTTACTGCACATGTAGATGATGGTAAGAGTGTAGATTTGGTGTTTCTGAATTTTCAGAAAATATTTAACAAGGTGCCACATAAAGGCTTCTTAAGATTATCTCTATAGGTGTGGGGCTTAGGTTGCAACTTTGGATAGAAAAGTAGATGGATGAAATAAATCAGAGGGTTGTTATAAACTGGATTAATGTCACAAGTAGGACTACCTCAGGACTCACTGTAAAGACATTTGCTCTTTTTCACTTACATCAATGACAAAGATGAAGCAATGGTCAATAAATTACTTTGTTGATGATGTTAAGTTCTTGGGTTTTGCTAGCTGTGAGGAAGATGCCACTGGTTTACAAAAACAAAATAAAAATAGATTATTTAGTGAGTTGGGTAAATAAATGGTAGGTGGGTTTTAATTACAATAAATGCAAGGTAATGCATGTGAGTTATTATAATTTGAATTGTAAGTATAATTTGGATGATAATATCCTTAACAGTGTTATGGAAAAAAAGGATTTTGGTGTTCTGGTTGATCAGTCTCTTAAGCCACCTTATCAGTGTGCTGCTGCTTGTAATAGGGCAAATAAGATTTCATGTTGTATCTGAAGAAATAATGAATGCAAGTGGTTATAATTTAAGTGTATTTGTGACTGGTAACTCCTTCTTTGGAGTATTATGTTCAATCTTTGGCTCCTTATCTTAGAAAGGATATTAAATTGTTCAAAGTAGGACTACTAAGATGATACCTGAGATGGGAAGCAGGTTAAGATCTCTGAAATTGTTTTATCTTGAAAAAGAAGTTAGAGGGGATCTGATTGAGCTGTTTAAGATTGTTAAGGGAAACGAGTGTCAATGAATCGTTTTTGTTGTTGTTGTTTATTTAATGATCAGAAAGGTAGGACTAGGGGACACAACTATAAATTTTGGCAGGGTAGAAGTCATCTTCAGCTAAGACAGTTTTATTCTTCTGACAAGGTGGTTGGCTTTGGAATAGGTTGCCTTCAGATGTGGTAGACACTGTAAATTTAAGGGAGTCAATGGAAGGATTGATAAATATTTCAATGATATGGGCTGAGTTTGAGTTTTTTGTTAAACAATTAATTTACTTTAGTTGATGGAACGACCTAGATAGACCAACTGATCCCTTGTCGTTTTTCAATTTTATGTTATGTCGACTAAGTTCAGTCTCATCATCATCCTTAACTACTTCAGCATTTTAAAATGTATTATTTTAATTTACATCACATTCTGTGACTTATTATCATCAATACTACAAACTTTATCAACTCATCCATAGTAATGTCGACTAATTTTGTGTTTCATCCTCATTCTTACAAACTCCAACATTTCAACACGTATTATTATAACCTAGAGAACAGTCTGTGATTCATTGTTACATTTATCGTTAAGAGTTTCAACATCTTTTACAACAGTATTTTTACATGATGTTCTGTAACACTTGTATCCATACAAACTTTAATCTTACTATGCAAACTACAATATTCGTTTCATCATTATCTTATACCTTTCAGCAACACATGTAAAAAATGTCTGGAACAACTTTCTGTTTTAGACATTATATTACCACGTGTGAATTGTTCATAAGCGGAATTCAACACTTTCGTGTTTTTTTACTGGTTTCTATAAACTTATCAGGCATCATCACATCACATAATGAAATCCTTATTTTATTACTTAACGAAATTCAGTTATCATATGCTAACCAATAACTGCTCTGCTCTCGCTTTCTTCCCTGAAGAAAAAAAATAAAATTTGTTTCAGAAATTCAAGCCATTAAACATCATCAAATTTTCAAACAATTATATTATATGAGATGAAGACACTGAAAAACGCAGTGTCTTTGAACACTGAAAAGTATAAAGTGATTGAAAAAATCTATTTTTATAAGAGTAAGAAAGGTTACACGTAGAAGAAGATGACGTTATACGTATCACAGGCAGTGAGCTTATGAAGGCAGAATATGTTTTAAAAGTTGCAAAAATATCATCCGTTTCGAATACGAACCAGAAAAATGTATTTTAAGGTTTGTAAAAACTTCCACCTGACGGGAACATCTCAAAAGCAGTTTAAAATACAATGGTCAGAGAATAATACATGACATTAAAAACTGGACATATCACAGGAATAAAAATGTATGGAGACAAGTTATTTGATAAAAGTTTGACAAAGTGATGTTATAGGCAGATTACGATACGTAATTTCAAGAAATTTATTTTACTTTCGATTTTACAGTTTCAAGAAAATTGATTAAGCTTCCTTTTTTCTTTTCCATCTTTTTATCCTGGTGTGTTTCATTTATCTAATAAACCCCCTCACTTGTGCTTACCGAAGAAGAAACATTTGTTTTAAAAATGACAAAAGGGTGGTTTCGGTGTTTATAAATTTTTGCCTTTTTCTTGCTCTTACAGGAATAACGAAACAAAGTTTTTAGTGGTAAAATGACTATACATTGATACATAAGCCAAATAATGTCAGACAAATATGAGCAAACACTATGAGTAAATCTGACAACATACAAAAATTAAGACTTATGAAAGTTATATGAAAAATAAAGCAATCATTATATGTATGAACGTTTGAAATTGAATAAAGATGGCTTACAAGTCACGCAGAGGCAAAAACATCATGAATAAAAATCACGATCAGTGTTAGAAGTTAACTAAGAGATTTTGATTACTTAGCTTACTATAAAAAATATATAACAAAATTTTGCCTTGAACCATTGTAATATCTTTCATGCCTATGACAAGAGCAACATGTGTTTACACATTAAGATATAAACTTTACTTTACAGAAATATGATTTTCAGATCTAAAGCATAAGTTTTGGGAGTACCAGCATGCTTCATGACGAAGCAGTTTTGGCGCTGTGTTTCATGCGCTTGCTGCTTTAAAGATTAGTGCAGACATTATAAATATACTCTAAACCTGTGAAGTAATGTCCAGCATCTACTGCAATTATGACATTATATGTAATTTTAACAAAATATTGCAATATAATATCACTACACGAAATTATGTCTAACCCTAAATCTCTCTGGCAAGTGTTAGATTCTTTACCTAAAATTGTCTTTAAAATTATTCAAGATTTTCACTCCACGTACTCAGATGTCAAGTTGGCAAAGTAAACATAAAAAAAAATTGTTTTCTGTTGCATCGCTAGTCATTTTTTAAAATAACAACACATACCGTATTGCCCATAATTAACGCCCCCCTCACAGAGATCAGCAATCACTACTGATAACTGATAAATATCACGTAGGCCACGATTTTCCCGCCTTTTTTTACCGTAGCAGCAAACTTCAAAGACGCTTTGGCGATGCCGATCAAAGGAGGTTACCCGGTACATAGGATTTTTTGACACTTATAAGCAATGATTGCCATATTTACTGCAATAGTGAGCACTGGTGTTTATAGCAAAATTAGAAATAAATAGGCTATGTTTGCTACCACTTATTATAGATAAATTTGTTTATAATAGAGGTATTATCATATGATCCAATTAATCTCTAATCAGCGCCCCCTTTTTTGATGTTTCCACCCCCTCGGGGTGATTCATTAGGGGCAATACGGTATTTCATAATAATGAGTATTCACTTTTAAATAAACAGGTTCTCATTAGGTGACACGAATGATACTATCTACACCTTTTCTAAATAATTAAGTTTGCTAAGTTATTCCATGAAAACGTCGTTATTATTTTTAAATACTAGTAATAACATTACTAAGGACTAGTAAATTAACAATTTATAGTTAGAATAGACTAGAAATTTTTAGTGTTTTCCAAAACATTTTCAAAAAAAAAATCTTATACAGATAGATACTTTTATGGCATACAAAACATCCAAAGCGTTTGAAAGAATACGTAGTCTACTACCTACGTGGGTTTCTTTCAATTATATAAACAGTCAATACAATATATAGTTCGTTAATGTATCTTATTCGAAAGTAACTAAGCTACCCTCTTTTATTTATTTTTTGAAGAAAACCTAATGACTGGCCGTGTACATCAAATTTCATTTTAATTAGTGTTTGATGTGCAATGCTATAATGTTATTTCAAGTAGTTATTAAATATTATTCTAAGTAGCAGTAAACAATGGGTATGTAATTTATCTATTAACATTACACTTTTGACAGTTTTCCTTATTAAAGTAGTGTTTCTAATTTTTCATAGCCCTATGTTACTGCTTCAGTAACTTTAAATCTGTTGTTTACCCTTGGTCAACATTAACAAAACCTACTACATTAGGCTTCAGGCTCACCACTAAACTCTTAACGATACTATTCATAAACATTATCTAATATACAACGTGATTCAAATATTCAACAGCACATCTTCAAGTTTCAACAAGCTATGCAAACCCCAAAAACCTTTACATATATTCCCTAATCTTAACGTCGAAGAATGATACTTATCACACACATAATTGTAAATTTATGACAATACCGAAATAAAGCAATCACTGTCACAACTGGTTTTATGTTAAGTGTGCCAGCCAGTACACATATTACATGCCAAACAAGGCAACGATACTGTAGCCACGTATTCTGCGATCTTAAAAAAATGCCAATTTTCCTGCTAAGCATGTATGTGAGCTATTTGTAAGATTGAACGGACACTTTAACACATTTGTTTACATTCATTGACAATACTATTAGTCTAAATTTGACTCTATAACTAACTTGCAACAAGAACCAAGAGGCTGAAGCCCTGGACTACAGCTTAGAAACTTTAAAAAAAAAGTTTAGAAAGTGGCAAGAGTGGTAAAGCACCTCGTGAAGCACTCTATCAACTGACTTGAACAATAAGCATGAATTCTTAAAGCACATTTTAGAGTGAATAGATACACACACACATACGTTTGTTCCCAATCTCACACCAGAAAATAATGGGTCATACAAGACCCTTTATTTGTCAATAGCTTCTATAGACTCTGCTTTGGGTGGTTCGTCAGCAAATTTCTCAGGCTTATCTTCAGGTTCCAACTCTTTAGTTTTGTTTTTTTCATTTTCATCCTCATGTTTGTCTTCCCTTTTCTCCTCTGTTTTTTCTCCATCTTCTTCTTCTTTCTTAATATCTTCTGTTTTTTCTTCTATTCACAAAAGAAATGCATTTTGGTATAGGCATGGTCTTTCATACACATTTTTCCTCAGAGCTATATAATTTGCTGATGTAATTGATAAAGTAAATGCAATGCTTTAAATTTGTGTAAGATTTTCTATGTACTGTTAATGTATTATTGGTATATGCACTGGCAAAAAATTATACTGTTCTGAGGTGTTTCAAACATGGCGATAATGCAAGACTATATAGTTCAAACATGAAAATAGAAGATAAACAGAAAGATACAAAAACTGAAAATGACAAGCAAATCGATCTACAGGTAGTAAAAATAAAACATAAAAAAATAGATAGTTTGAAATATAATTATTTCTTTTATGTCAATGAGACAACCACAATTTTAAGTAAGATAAAACAAATTACTTTATATTACTTATATTTTATTAACACCTTTAACACATTCACTGTAAATAGAAAGATACCTTCTGTAAGTTGCTGTTCTTCTTTTTTTCCTTGTTTGTATTTCTTAGACTTTTTCACAATTCCATTTTCAATCAAACTGTAGGCAGTGTCAAGAATGGTTTGGTTGAAGTCTCGTGGGGCAATCTCCAAAACTTCCTTCATCTAAAGAACGAAAGAAATAGATATATTTCGTTAAACAAACTCTGCCAAGAAACTGTAGAGTAGACTTTTACACCCTGGTCTTCTATTAACTTTATCTTGAAGTCTAGGGAAATATCTTGTTCTTAATTCTTCTGCTTCATATTTTACTCATGATGTTTCTTTAAAAATTTCATCTTGACTGTATATGTTTTAAGTTGAAATTTTACTTTTTAACCTAAAAAAAGGTCGTATGATCTAATTAAGATTCTGGAAAGTGAATAAAGTTATTTTTTTTCCGAATAAAGATTGCATAGAAACTGAATAACAACTTCTCAATTACAACTGTCTACTTGTCATGTTTATTAACATAAATCATTTTATTGAATAAATATAGTTTATTAAAGAAGATTATACTTTAAGTTTTCTTAAAGATTCCTAGCTTAATAATGATCGATTCATACTGGATCCATTTCTAGTATTAATTTCTTACCTACTTAATACATTCCCTTATTTAATACTACTTACTCGGCTGTTGTCAAACTTGAATTCTCTTCCTATCCGTGGTAATAAAAGTCTGGTAGACTTGTTAATGAAACTGTTCAACCAGACAGCAAAATATGGTGCGTTTACAGTGGGAATTCTATAACCTATTGAAATATATTTCTTTAATTATTTTGAAATTAATACTTATTGTTTAACATGTTTAACCCTCTTCATGACTTAAGTAAATTTTATAAGTATTTCCTTTCACCAACTTAATCTAGTTCATACCTAAAGAGTGTTTATTCAAATAATTGACGATATAAACAGTCGTCGAAATTAGTGATGGCATTACAGCAAAACCTCCGAAAAAGCCTTGACATTTTATGAAAAACATAAAATACAAGGGCAAATAACGATAACAGTAGAAAAAAAAACAAAAAAAAAAACGCCGACGTAATAAAAACATTCTGATTTCTTTTTCCATTAATTTCTTAATTTTTTGCTGTAAATAACATCAAAAATTAATACTTTATACTAAAATGGCTGATAAATAACTTGAATATTTAGTGATACAATAATCTAACGTTGCCTAATTTGAAATTTCCCTTACGATTGAATTTTGGGGATTACAGTATGTGACACACCAAGGCAAATATCAAATTTGTATAAGTTCGTACTATGGCCTTGACTGTGTAGGACCATCTGTCCAGACATTTCTGAGTTAATCTCTAAAGCGCTGTCCTTTTTTCACTGGTGAACGAACTATTTACTAAATATTTTGATAATTCTCTGCCTAGTAGTTTTTACACTTTATTATTCTAATTACAAAACATTTATTTTAATAAAATGTCATTCAAAATCAGAAATAACATACACTGTCAAAATATGTGTAGTATGAGCGAGTTGCGTTTTGGATTATTGCGCGTTTTAGTATCCGAGGGGATAGTGAAGTTTATTACTTTAAATGTACAGTAATTTGACATATTGTAACTATTACTACTTAAATACACAGTAGTTTGACATATTGTAACTACTACTACTAGCTGAGTTCAGTTTAATGCTATTTGAAGTATAAAGACTATCAGTGTTTGAAAATCTTAGGTGTGAAAAAAAAAGTGCGTCCAAAATCGAATTGAGCGAGAGGCTTAAAGGAATAAGATTAAAATTAGCGGCCAAACTGGTAGCTACACTTATAGCATTAATAAGAATTTTATAGCAAATATTCATTCATTAGTTAGCCTATTATTCGGAACAGATCTATATTTTACAGAACTAACCAGCGTCTTTAAAATATATGGTGGCAACTTTCTCCTCTAACACAGTGTTAACAACTTCCTTTATAGTAACGCCATAAAAACTAGATTAACAGTTGTTTGTCATCACCCGCGTGCACTCGGTATAGCTGTATCAAGCATCATTATTTACGTTAATTGTTTAAGCTAATACCTCGTGACGCTAAACGTTCATTAATTAGGAGAATTTCATAAAAGTTAATAAATTTGTGCTTAAAAGTTGGTAATGAATAATAGCCGTCCATCCGTATGATTCTTTTGAAAACGTGTGCTAGAAACTGCTAATCTAATTTGTTTGGCCTAACCAATACTTTCGTATCTACGCGTCTTTTCACCCTATAGTCTTGCTGCTCTAAGTCAGCCGTCTTTAATCCGAATGTCGAAAAACTAAAAATGGTCTACCTTTACTCTTAGGAGAAGCTGTAGTCAAAACATTATGCCCGATAGTTCACGTGATTTTTGGTCAAAATTGCGCAGTTTTTGTTGAATAACTTTGCACATGTGGTTTATATTTAGACCAAATTTGACACCTAATAGTAGATTGTAAAGATCTATCAGTGTATCAAAATTTAAAAATGTTCATGAAAATTAAGTATGTTTTTTTATCAAATACAATTTCCGCACTTTCGGTGTGAATAAAATATAGAAGGAACTTCAATCAAAATTAGAGATTTCATATTTTGTGTATTTCTTAATGGGATTGCCTTGAAATTTGGTGTGTGAAGTAAGGGTTCAGTAGAGCACATCCACAAAAAACGTATGATAGTTTGGATGATCACAGTCTGAACTATAAAAAGTGGAAATTTGCTAAACTATCACTCCTGTTAATAACACACAGAGTGTCCTGCAGGTTGTTTCGGTCGCACGACACACTACCGCGTGTATTGATCAGTGCTTCTCAACTGAGTGAATGGTTCCCCCAAGATTTAATGCGATTATAATTAGTGTGAAAGAGAATTATGGGGTGAATGAGTATTATCAATTAAAAAAGAAATTCAAGAACAAAAAAGTCATTAGTTATTATTATTTATTCTAGTTGTAGTTTGATAAATACATTTATTTTTTGTTTATTTTATGTTGTATTCATTCTTATTGTAGTTTGATGTATATTCAAGTCATAACAAAGAATTTTGTATTTTAATTTAGTGCTTTTTGTCTTTTTTTTTCGGACTGGGGTGAGTGAACTGTTGTGAAAAACATTGGGGTGATTTTGACTTTCCGATGAATGTGACAAAGCTGATGTCTGAGGTTTAACATGTGATTTAACCAATAATACTTAATTGGTACAAAAATTAATGTAGGTTTTTCGTTTTTCACATTGTTGGGAACGCACGTCTTGTACTCCGCCTGTATATTAAATGTCTAAAAGTGAAAGAATATTGTTACGTCTCCGTTTGTTAATTAACTTTCCGTAACTTCGTTCTGATGAAACTTTAGCGACACAAGTCCTTACTTAAT